TTTACCATGCCAAGTTGTCCTCCATTTACGACTTAACGATCTGGATCAACCTAAGAAGAAATAATGAAAAACTCCAGAGGTTGTGCGCAGATAAGAGAGCGCAGACAGCACGTCACAGCCACAGCGACTTAATTGGCGCCAACTTTCGTCCCACAAATTGGCCCAATTAATCAGCCTCGCGAATTTTATCCCGAGCATTCCCAATCCTCGACACGGACAATGTCAGCTTTGCTACCCTTTTTTGCAAAACAGTTCCTTCCCTCCATAAAGTGCCGTGATCTACAGCCTATCACGGTCAGTGATTTTTCTATGCGGTTTTTTATGACTCTAAGCTGCACGCAGGGTTCACAGAGAACTGTTGGCCCCGTATTTCGTATGCTAAGCTTTGAAATTAAATCAGTTTCGAGGCAGCAAACGACCAGTGGCCAACGACTATGCCGATTACTACAGGGCAAATCTGACCATAAAAGTGCTGCTCGTCTCATTCACGCAGTCACGTCGTCAATTATGATGTACCGACGGCTTGTTCACGTTCTTACTACTTCTCGTATTTGTCGACAGTGTTCTGGTAGGAAAATTGATTTTGAAAACGCTTTTGTTCCATGGACAACAGGGAAAATATTCATTTATTTATTTATTTATTTATTTATAATACGCGCGCAATGGTGCATGTGAAAAAGAAACATCTAAACAAACGCAAACACATGTTGCTACCGTGCAAAAGTAGTGCATACCGAAAGAAACCTGAAAAAGATAGAAAATGCAATAGATAAAACAGATATTATAATAGTAACACACCCAACCAGGTGATCACTAGCTATGCTTCCTGAGGTAACTGGGAAATATCTCGTCTCATAAAGGGGAGTTTGACTGGAAAAACCGATATTTTTGCTGCAGCTTCACAATACTCGGCTCGTATGAGTAAGGAGTGTTGCGCAAAGTGAAGTTTTGCCCGCTAGCGAACCTAAGTTTGTTTGAACTTCCTCATGTTTCTGTAGAGCTTGAAGAAAAAACAACTTGGGGACACGATGGTATAAACCCTGTATTGTTTTATGCAACATGTAACTAATCTCAATATAGTCTCCCCTTTGCCTGAGGGCGAGTCTAAGTTTCAAGGTTCTAATTTCTTACTACAGCTGAGGTAAATGTCGGTCATGTGCTCTTGGCGGTAGAAAGCTCGCCTTTGCATGCTCCTCACTGCCAAGCGATATTGAAATATTCCAGACAAGTTTATTGCCTTTGAACTTCTTCTAGTTGGTTGCCAGGGATCTCGCTATAGTTGTAGATCCCACAGTCGTTAGACCCGCCTCAGGAGTATCACCGAAGCCAAGAATTGACGATTTGTGTTCTCGTCTATCGAAGCAGATCTGCAGAGTCTCGCAGTCACCTTAAAGGCCGAGATATCCCGACTAGTAGGAAGGATACCGCGAGAATTTGGCAGAACCCGTAACTACCTACATCCCTTCAATTGTCCTAAAATCGCGCGTTGGGCGCTACTTACGGGCCCGTTGTACCACATCCGACCTTTTTGAAGAAGTTAGGCCTTAAGTTCAGCGTTCCCAAAGAGTTCTCTCGCTTCCCTCTCCACTTTGGGGTCGCTCCGCAGCTAAGCTATCACTGCGAAGCGCTTAGCACCAGTTTAATTCCGGAGTTTGCCTTTTAAAGGACGAAATTCACGCTGGAAAGGCAACCCATTTCAAATTAACCTAGGGATGGTGAGTGGTACACGAAAGAAGGAAGAACCATGAGAAACGGCCCAGAACCCGAGAAATGGTACCCCTTCCTTGCCCGTTGATTCGAGCATTGATGCGACTCTCATCGCTGTGCCCTCTTCAACACTACGCTCTCTCAGCTATCTAATCACTCGCCACGTATTGAACTACGGCGAGTGATCAGATGATCGGTGGGCGGAGATCGCCGGACCCGCCAGCTTTGAGGCATGATAGGTCGCCGAGGTCAAATTTTTCCATGCGAATTGCGCGTCAGTTCGCACCCTCAGGAGGTCCGTGGGTCCCTCAACTAGGTCATTACTTCTTCTTCGACCTCATTCTAATCGTGAATTCCTCCTTTAAAGGAATTCGCGAAAATTCTTGCCTCTTTCTCAACGTGAATATGTCAGTTAGTGACCCGCCCCCATTCTTCTTCTCTCTCCTTGTGCTCACTGGAAATAGCACACAAAGTTTCACGCATGAAGATTCGGTTTCTGAAGAGAAACAAACGTACAAAAACTACACGTTATGGACCATCGAAGGACCAGGAGGCAGAGCCAGGCGAGGCATGGAAAGAAGACGGCGTTTGGCCGGCTACGTACCAGGCGACGCAATGAGAGAATCGGGTTAAAGCGCGCGATTTCGGAGAGTGGAGACAAATCGATCGATGGAATAGGATGGAGTAGAAGTGTAAGATGTGAATGCAACGAAGCAGAAGGCCAGAAAGAGCTTCTAGTGAATGCACTCCAAGAACCAAGTTTGAGCATCCCCGTCGCCAGCATTCGTGAAAGACGTCCGTGGGCAATTCGAACGCGTAGCAGCCTTTTCGAGTTTTCGAATTTCTAATCAAAACGAAAGCAATACTTCAGTTCTTTTCACTATTATCGTGGATAATGAGTCTCAAGCCAGTGATTTATGGCTGAAATAGAATCATGATTTTTCCGCGCAAGATTCCTTTAAGGTGATGACCTACCTGCACTGTAGCGCGAGGCTTATTACTGGGAGGACCGGAGCGAGCTGTCGGGGGAGCCTATATCGTCGTGAGGCCGATACGTGTGGCCGACCACAGGCGATCGTCGACGGGTATTGGAATATCGATAGAAGAAGCTACCAGATCAGGATAGCCTAATCGAGTCCGAGGGAAATCTGATGGATACGGTTTCCAATGAAATCTGCCGAAATCTGCCCAGGGTAATATTGCGAAGCTTTTATACGGCCATGGACACCTGCCTATTGAGTCTGATTCTAAAAATTAGTCACACTTTTGCCACAGCTCTTACGAAACTGTATTGAACCGTCCGATACCCGAATGAATTTTTCTTGCTGTGAGGGCAATATAGTCCATATCAAAGATAGTATGACGTACATTTTGAACGCCCTTGATGAGAAGGAAGATCGCTTATTTTTGATGAGCTGTGGCAAAAAGACAAGCCTAACTTCGTTTCTGAAGCAGTGAATATCCAAACATACTCATTTTTTATTGTGACCGATCCTTCAACTTCAAGAAGCCTTCTCAGTAGGTGAGCTGAATGAAGTTGTTTTCGGACATTCTTTTTTACATAAATGTATACATTTGTTTACTATCCAAAAAATTAGTAAACGCCAAGCCGTAGACGCCTTTCGGAACTTAGGGGCTAACAGGTCTCTGATGGCAAAAACTCGCAGAGGTCCCTTACTGGTTTACTCGCCCATTATATCGTCGGGCGAAACATTTACAACTTATTCCTGAATCTACTGTCAGCTAAAGGGAAGAGGCTAGACCAAACTGAGGGGCACGTTTCTTGAAGTGTCGAGTTTCACTTAACGTACTTGGTGATGCCAATTAGAACATTTTTCTCACATGAAGCTTCTTTTTTTTGTACACATCCCATCTTGCTATGCCTAAACCGGAGAACCAGCTCAGTCAAGATTTTTGTAACAGAGCCCCAGTGATAATTGTTGCTCCCTATACATCCTATTTATAAACAGGTGTCTGCCTATGTTTCGCGAAATTCGCTCATTGTTGCCGAACCGGTAAGGCCTCTGCTTTGGCAGCAGCTGGTTGTTTAGTCGGCTACAACGACGAAAAAGCCCGCAACCACGACGAAGAAGCCTGCGACCACGACGAAGAAACCAGCTACGACAACGAAATTCGTCCGTAAGTCTTGACTTTTTTTATCAGCACTCTCACAACAATGGGTTATTTATTCTTTGGGCAAACCTTGGCCAGAGGTACATTCGCCAGGGGCCGCTCTCATGAAGCGCTGGTGGTGTCACGAGGACGGTGAAAATGTAGTTCTGGAGGGGGGGGGCACTCGTAATATCAGATAAAAGTAAAGTTGCGGAAAGGTACTCAGTTTTAGTCAACATTCAAAGCACAGGCTATGAGTGTACAATTGCATAGGGACACGAACCTGTGTTCTGTCAGAAATCGCATCTTGAAGGCAAAATTCTAAAGCTTAAATTCGATATGTGAATTCTACTCTAAAGTGATGTAGGGGCGGGAGGTGGACCACCAGTGGAGAAAAAAGGAAAAAAATTCGTGAAATACACAGGAAATACGAGCCTTTTGCTCTACGTTGCGGAGAAGTTCAAAAGGCCGGCAGGGAGATGAGAGATAATGTGAGCGCGGAGAGCGGTAGAGAAATCCGAGAAGAGAGAGCATAGCAGATCAGCATTGCGACGCAGACAAAATATCGAGCGGTGGGCGGAGCGTGTCGCAACAGGAGGAGCGTGTCAAAGTCCTTGGCCCCTAGCGCCTTAGTGACGCATTTGGATGCGGGAACTTGGCGAGTCGCCTGCAGTTGCGTCCCATGCACTTCTAGCCACTTTAAGGGCTTATTAGGTGGGTCTGAGCCCGAACTTTGCCTTTAAAGGGCACCCTTTCTTCAGAGATTGCATGGTGATCGCAGGAAGCTCTGGTGAAGATGAGAGTCACATGATAGCAGCCATTTCCGCTTTGTAAAGTAGTAGAGGCAAAAAATTTGGCCACCGCCAGGCCACCGTTCCAGTGAAAGATATAACGATTATGTTTGATAATATATGAGTGTCATTTCGATTATATATGAATGACTCCCCCCCCCCCACAAACCATTTTCGTCCACGAGTACTATTCTACAGTCGAGGAAAGGGAGAATAGCAGGATATTGAAAATTGCTCACTGGTGCTTCCTAAGAATTCTTTCTCCATTCTACCGGCTTGTGTCCCACGTTCTTCTGAGTGCCTGCATTCACTTCATATGCCCTCCTCCACCCCCCAACGCATAGCGCTCTTTTTAAGCTTGTAGTTGGTCCCCCGAGCTGACTCAATTAAGTGCTGAATTAATAAAAAAGAATTGGGCTCTATTGAGCAATCAAATCCCCTCGAATTATGATTTGTATTTACACATGTATTTGACGGCTTCATCATAGAATTGCTTTTGCCAAGCACATTGCCATAATATCGGTAAATCTCGTGAGCCCATACATATTTTCAGCCCTGTGTGGGAAATGTGTCATGCCAGCAAAGGGTGCTGCTCGCATGCCAGTGAGAAGGACTGTGAAGCCAACCAGGAAGTGATGCGTATAGAATTGTTAAGGATAAAGCAGCCTCATACGGAGGAAAACCCCTCAACTGGCCTCTTAGCGTGCATTGGATCACCGTTCACAGATAGTGCCTATGCTGAAAAAATACCGTATCGACGCAAATGTGGCGTTATGCTGAAGACTTAACCAGGAAAGGCATTCAACTTCCCATGGAACTTTGAGATGAGACCCAGATATATCGATAGAGCTTCAAACGCTGATTACAAATATGGAAACTAAAACTGCAAAATGAACCTGCCAAGGAAGTTGTGAGCAGTCAAAGTTGGCTGGAAGTAAAGCATTACGTTATAACCGGTGCTAGCCTCCGGGGTTTCAAACTCGCCGCGGAGTAGTGGTAGTGCTCTGGAAATTCGCATGAAGACAGGAACGAAGTATTAGGTTGGAAAGAAAGTTCTGCAACACTCTTTCCAAAATTTTCTTTTTTTCTGAAAAATTCATAGGTAACATTTATGACTACCAAATGATAGAGCATTCTCAAGGCTTCAATCCACGAGGTGGATATAAGTTCTGCAGTCAGTAGTTATCCAAGAAAATTCAAAAAATCTCGACCACTAGCAAATCCGTACTCCGAGTCACTGTCTAGTACAAATGTCTACAAAACCATGGATTCGTGTCAACGACTGACACTATCTGCAATAGCTTCTAATAGGCATGCCGTTCAGCGCTACAGCGTGTTTCACCTTTACCAGCGCTTCCGATCTTTTGATATTTTTATAAGAAGCCAGCAGCATCCCTCACACTCCATTACAGGTAGGGCTCTTACAGAAGCTCCACTACATACCCTTCGTTATGGGCACCATTGTGTAGGCAGTGGCCTAGGTTGTGGAAGTACCAGAAGCTGGCCGAGGTAGCTCGTCAAGAGCCCTCGTACCGCGACAATATTCATTTCTTTCATGACATTGCGAATCACCATGATCCGAAATGAGCCCGGTAAGAAATTCTGGAGTTGCGGCAAGATTTCTTTCCTCTCTTAGCGTAATCCTCTGGTCGAGCTGTAAATAAGTGCTACCTATCCTGGACCTTTAATCATCATCTTTATAACGAAATAATCAGACGATCAACTCCAACTCGAAAGTGAGGTCGCCTCCTTTCTCGACTCGCACTCCGCTGGGTTTTGGCGGAGGAGGATCAAGAAATTTTCTGAGCGATGGAGACAAGTGGTGGACACTCATGGTAGATAAGACCGGTCAGGAGTTGTAACCAAAAAAGATAAAATTAAAATCAAAAATTGAAAAAGTGTTGCAGGACTTTCTTTCCAACCTAATATAGAAGGAGAGCGGGGCTACCCACTCCGCGGCGACTTCTGAAAGCCCGGAGGCTAGTGTAATGCGCTTTACTTCCAGCCAACTTTGACTGCTCACAACTTCCTTGGCAGGTTCATTTTGCAGTTTTAGTTTCCATATTTGTAATCAGCGTTTGAAGCTCTATCGATATATCTGGGTCTCAATTCAAAGTTCCATGGGAAGTTGAATGCCTTTCCTGGTAAGTGACATTTCGAATGACCTTGACTAGGGCTATTCCGTCGACGCGAAATGACGACTAACTCCTCCGCAGCGCTAAAATCGCGCGCTCCTTAATCAAGGTCTAAATGGCTGGCCTTATGTAGCCATACCGCTTTCGACGAGCATGTCCCTTGAAAACGGTGATGCGCGACCGGAATCGTATCGGAATATGTGGTGTCGAGTCATCCATCTACCCCGCCCGAACCCCGGACGGAGGAAGATGGTTGATTATTTCTCGTTTTCCTCCCACTATTTTTTTTCCGAAGACGTTAAGGTGTATCAAATAACGTTGACACACTCCAAGCAGCGCTTATGGAATTCGCTCCGGAAAGAAAATGGTACGGGACGTAAAATAGCCCTTCCAATAAATTTGACTAAAAATGCTCTTGCAGGAAGATTTAGCCAGCTAAGAAACCTTTCGCGGAACGTGGATCTCCTGTCACACACCCACCCTCTAAAAACCAACCGTGCGTGTTCTCCCTGCGTGTGGTGGGATCCTAGGGGCCGGAAGCGGCAACCCCGCTGCTGGGTCCCCAAAACCCTGCATCTCTACTCCAGTCGATGAATCCTTGTTTCCAAGATAGGGAGATGCGTTCAAGAATGCAGGGCTTCGGGTACCTATCCCCCCGGGGCATGCTGCACCCGGTCCCAGATGCGGTCCCACATACAATCCCTATGGTGTCAAGCAGAGCAGAATATGAGAGCAGAAGCTAGCTCCTAAAACAGCTCCTAAAATATCCGCACTACTCCATTCATTACAAATCATTTCTCCTACGATCACGACCCTCACTGCAACACCAAAATACGCTCCCCCCCCCCTTGTCCACAATTCACAAGTACAACATCCTTCTTGAGATATGGGTAATCATGATATATGGATGAGACTTGTTATCCCCTTGACTTATTGTATGAGCATGAGTATATTCAATCACTACATTGGTTACAGCACAGTGTGAAAGCATGGCTTATCAAGATGAGTTAGTTGCAATGTGAATTTGAAGAACGGGATCGATTTTCACAAATCCTTATCTCAAAAACAGCAGCTAGACATATTGATCCTCTACTAATCGATACAATATCAATGCTATCCCTTTGCAGAATACTGACGAACACAGCTGCAGGCTGCAACCGAATGCATGTGATTTGTACCGCACCGGCCGGCGGTACAATTGCTTCAATGGAGGTACGAAATACGAAATTTATTGATTTTCCATGAAAAGAAAAATTCTGTTTGAAGTTCAACAAACAGTTTGGAGGAGGATATGAAGCAAAAACTGTTACTGCACTGTTGAAATGTAACGCGAAACAGAACTGGATTTTCACAAAGGATGGTGTTTCGAAGTGAGTTTGCACCAATTCTGAGTTGTATTTGACCGCTTGAAGGGCTCGGGGAGGACTCGTCGTACGGTAGCTTTTGCTTGCCGCAACTCTTCCAATTTCCTGCTTCCAAAATTCGCAGACCTCGAGGTTGTGACCCATTTGCAGGTTGTTTTAGATTCTATTGAAAAAAAATGCATTGGCTCTTTCAAAGATGATTACAGAAAATGTCAATTCCGGTCTTTCTTCCTATTACCAAGAGATATGAAGGGCGTTTGACTTTCTTTCTATAGAGGTACACCGTGCCTTTAAGTCCTCCCATAATCACAGTTTCTGAGCACGTGGGTTTCTATAACAAGTATGATGTGGTAA